TCTCCCTCTGACCCTCCTCCCTCTCATGCTCTCTGTATCTCATTCTCTCTGTCTCAAATAAATAAATAAAATCTTTAAAAAAAAAAAAAAAAGAATATCATTTAGATAATTTTTTTAAGTAGTGCTTCTTTTTAAGCCTCCATATCATAATCTGGGATTTTGAGGATTTCCTGGACGCAGTTATTTTTTTTTTAAACTCTAAACTATTGTCTTGTTTAAAGGAAATATTTTGGGGCGCCCTGGTGGCTCAGTCAGTTGGGCAGCCAACTCTTGGTTTCTGCTCAGGTCATGATCTCAGGGTCCTGGGATAGAGCCCTGCATCACATGTATCAGGCTCCCTGCTCAGTGGGGAGTCTGCTTTAGGATTTTCTCTCTCCCTTTGCCCCTCCCCCTTGCTTGCTTTCTCTCTCTCTAAAATAAATAATTTTTTTTAAAAAGTTTAACGGAGTATTTCATTGAAAAATGGAACTTGAATTATTGTATCAACATTAACTATTAAAATAATCATTGTCCTGACATGTTTGTTTATTACAATAGGAACACTTACCTGGTAAATCATTTACCTTTTGGACTTGGCTTGAAGCAATATTGGATCTAATTAAGAAACACATTCTTCCTCTTTGGATAGATGGGTGAGTTACAGGCTATATTTTCCATATGAGTTCATTAGGTTCTTATTTTTAAGCTGTTGGTTTTTTTCCTTTCAAGCATGTTTAGTGATAGAGGGATGGGGAATAGTTCAGTTTCTTACATTCTTCATAGAGTACTGATATTTACTTTAACCTTAGAGGAGTATTTCATTGACTTTTTATTATACTCAGAACAAATTTAGGTCTGTTCTTTGTGAATGAAATAAATACAAATGTAATAAATTACAGTGTTTGATCAGGTAAAACTATGCATTGTTCTATTTTTAGGTATGTCATGGGCTTTGTTAGCAAAGAGAAGGAGCGCCTCTTGCTAAAGGATAAAATGCCTGGAACCTTTTTGTTAAGATTCAGTGAAAGCCACCTTGGAGGAATAACTTTCACCTGGGTAGACCATTCTGAAAATGGTACATGATTTATACTTGTGAAAGTAGTACTGAGTTTGGTTATTGGTCTTTCAGTTTTCAGAAGTGTGTAGCATGGTGTTCTGTTTTTCATGTGTCCAGGGGGTTTGAATATAGTTGTTACAGTTGTCCCAGAAGAGAGGCTCATGACTTTCTCACAGCCTGTGTGGGTGTCCTCTGTCACATGGCACTCTGTGCCGTCCACTCTGCAGAAAAGGGCTGGCATTGCTTGATAGCCAGTGACGTGAAGATGACGTGGGCAGGAAGAATGGCCCCCAAGAATGCCTGCAGGAACCTGAATGTACCTCCCTCCACCCACCCTTTCTGTTTTTCCAGGAGAAGTGAGATTCCACTCTGTAGAACCCTACAATAAAGGTCGGTTGTCTGCTCTGCCGTTCGCCGACATCCTTCGAGACTACAAGGTTATTATGGCTGAAAACATTCCCGAAAACCCTCTGAAGTACCTTTATCCTGACATTCCCAAAGACAAAGCCTTCGGTAAACACTACAGCTGCCAGCCCTGCGAAGGTTAGGTCCTTTCTGTTTGCTTGTTTTCCTCAGCTTTTGGCAAATAACCTCATATTGGAGTAAACGAAGTTCCTCTTTTTATGTTTACTTTGTCATAAGACGTAGGGGGTATGTGAAGGTCAAAGCCTTAGAAAGGAAGTAGTGCGTCAACAGTTCCTGAAGAGGAACAGCTGGGCTGTCCAACTCCAGCAGAGTAGTTAGTAATCGGTGGCTGTGACCAGACTTCACACGGCCATGCGCCTTCTCCCAGCCGCCTGGAGAGCTTTGGCTTTCTCCTTCCTAAAACAGAAGTGGTGCTGACTTCACGTCTATGACTGGGAGAGAGGAAAAGAAAGAGGAGGTAATGATTAGAAAGCTGTTAAGGGTTAGGGGAGTCTGTTTTCTGCAAAAGAAGCCTGAGGTTTATAAGCTTTATATTTTTTACCTTACTGTAGTCTCACAACTCAGCTTGGGTAGTTTACTTGCCAGGGAGGGGCTAAGGGGTCAGTGCTTCATTCCCCACCTGCTGGCCTTCCAGTAACTAGTCTTGACATGCCTGCCTTTCCTGGTTGTATCCTAAGGGGCTAAAATCACACCTGGCCAAAAGAAGCATTTGGTAAATATTTGTTAAATACACGAAAGAATATAAATAAAATTAGCTCTATAATTGTAATCTAAGTTAACCATTCTGTGTCTCTGATGAAAGTGTATACAATCCATTAAAATGTTCATCTATAGCAACTAAATCTATGAGCACCATCTTTTGGAATAGCCTACAATTGTCACCCACAGATGCTGAGTTGCTGCTACCCTGCTGAGTTACTAGAAATCCCGCAATACACAAATCAATCAAATATAATCAAACTTGAACATAACTTTGAAGACAGGTAATATAGTTGCCTCCCGCTTTTTCTCATGCATTTTGGAGACAATAATATGTAAAGTCAGATTAGGCCTGCCAAGAGATCTGTTTTGCTCTTCTTGCACATTTTATGTTCACCTAAAATACTGTTTCATCTATTCAACTAAAAATCTTTGTGAGTCACTAAACAATCATAATACTGCTCTTTTTTTTTTTTTTTAAGATTTTTATTTATTTGAGAGATAGAGACAGAATGAGAGACAGAGAGAGCATGAGAGGGGGGAGAGTCAGAGGGAGAAGCAGGCTCCCCACCGAGCAGGGAGCCCGATGCGGGACTCGATCCCAGGACTCCAGGATCATGACCCGAGCCAAAGGCAGACGCCCAATCG